GCAGAAGGAGATGGGGAGGGGGTGGTGCAGCCACTGGAAGAGGAGAGCAGGACAACAGCATGGTTGAGAATGTAGAACTTTAAGATGGCGGCGACACGTGTGAAGACAAAGGACTTAAAGATGGTGGTGGAAGAGGGGGAGGGGATTGCGAGCTGAGGGAGGCGGGCGACTGAGGTCTTCTGGTGGATCGAAAAGGAAGGACTGGGCAGAGTAAGAGGCTGACAATCTTTAACTGGAGATCGGGCTAGGAGAACCTGATTCATCGAACACTTAACATAAAGGTCTGGACGGGAGTGCAAAGTCCAAAAAGCCTGCTCATATGGGATTTCACTCTACTCTCCACTCCAGTGGCAATAATTAATCAAGGTGGTGAGGAAGCTAAAATTGAAAGTTCCCTCAGGGGGCCAGCAAGATTGATTGTCCAAGGGATACTGAGGTCCGGCCTCAGAGCAAAGAAAGACTAGCTTCTATTTACAAACTTCCCAGGACAAACATAGAGTAGCCAAATTAGAAATGAGACACCACAGTGGGGTCTGAGCCTCTGCTTTTGAGGGCTGATTCCCCATGTCTGCGCCACTTCCCAACTAATCCCGCTGAGAGGAGCACCCAGTGTCCCAAGGGCGCTAAGTCAGGGGAGACGTCCTGGGATTCCCCATGTCTGCGCCAATTCCCAACTAATCCCGCTGAGAGGAGCACCCAGTGTCCCAAGTGCGCTAAGTCAGGGGAGACGTCTCCCCCACCACAGGGCCAGGGGCGGGCTGGATGCCCGCAGACATCCTGGGGCCTAGGGTAGAGATGTCTCCCATACCGTGGGGCCAGGGGCAGGGCATATGCCTGCAGAGGGTGGGCTGAATGCCCCACCTGGACATACGCACAATTTCTAATGGACCAGGTGAAATGGAGTTAGGAAGGGAAACAGACTGGGGGAAACTGAGGGACTCACCAGAAAATAGTCCAAGCAGCGAAGAGCAGACTGAGGTCCTGGGTCGGGGAAGGAGGGGGCGGGGCCACCGGTGGCCGGTCTGGGCCCCGCGCTCACACTCCTTCCCAGGTTTTGGCACCAAATGTAAGATAAATTTTAGCCGAAATAAGCAGGCAAAGAGAGGCAACGAAGGGTCAGGTAGTTTATTTGAATGCCACTCCCGGGTGATGTTCCGCAGTCTGGGTATTACAGGCTGGGAAAGTCACACCCGGTCAGGGAGGTGGGGGCTTATAAGGGATTAGGAGGGGGAGGAGTGGGCAAGCTATCCTAGGGGGTGTGGAGAGGTATGATTGGCTAAAGGTGACATAATAGTCAACTAGAAACTTTTCCTTCCAAGAGGGAGGAGGCTGACATCCGGGTCTTAGTTGGCACATCAGAAGGATGGAATTCAGGAAGAGCTTTTCCCTTTCCATATAAGGCACAGACGTTGGGGTCTGGTCTGTTCTCCCCCTATGGCATCTCTCTGTTCTGTTTGCATGTCCTTGTTTTTCCTTCCTCCAGCCTAACACCCATCAGTGCATTGTAGGTTGGAGTAGTTGGCATGCACACAGTTAGGGGTCATTCTAGGTCAGATTCCATGGCACGGCATTCCCAACTCTAGTCCTGGATCTGTCATTATTCCCCCTAGAGGGCCCTGACTTGATTTATGCTGCTCATGTCCATTTACAGTTAATCTTTGTTCCCACCTCCAGCCAGAGGCACCACTTTTCTGCTTTCCCTTTTCATCTATTTGCCTTTTCTGGTTAAATGGAATTATACAATAAATGACCTTTTGTGTCTGATTTCTTTCACTTTAGCATGGTGTGTTTGAGTCTCATCCTTGAAGCATGTATTAGTGTATTTATATTGCATTTTCTTTATCCTTTAAGCAACTGATGGTCATTTGGATTATTTCCACTTTTTGACTGTTATGTATAGTGTTGTTATGAACATTTGAGTATGAATCTTCATTTGCACATATGTTTTCATTTCTCTTGGGTAGTTATCCAGGAGTGAAATTTCTTGGTTATATGGAAAAATTTTGTTTAGCTTTTTGAGAAACAGCTGAACTGTTTTAAAAGGTTTTAAAAGGTGGCAGGAACAGTTTACGTTTCCACCAGCAGTGTATTGCTGAATGTATTCCTACCAGAAATTTTCCTTCTCTGTATTCTTGATGTTTGTTATTATCTTTTTAGTCAGGACTAAATGGTCTCTCATTGTGGTTTTAGTTTGCATTGCTTTAAAGACTAACAATGGTGAGCATATTTTCATATGCACATTATCCATTCATGTATCTTCTTTGATGAAATGTCTATTCAATATTTTTGTCCATTTTTTAATTGTGTGGTCTTATTTTTGAGTTGTAAGAATTCTTTGTATATTATAGATACACATCCCCTTATCAGATATGTGATTTCCAAATGTTTTCATGGTGTACTTTTTATTTTAGTGGGGCATATTAGTCAGGGTATAATAGGTACGATATTGCTGAAAAAATATTCAGTGGCTTAAAACATCAAATAAAAGTAAATACTCTTTGAAACAAAGTAAATAAGACATCAAAGTTTTCTTTCTCATTCACATAATGGGTCCAGACATCTAATAATGTTATGGGTCCAGGCAACTCCCTTGTGCAACTGTGTTCTATGCATTGGCTCAGGGATGCACATTCCCTTCAATGCACACATCTATGAGCATGAGGCAAAGAAGACTGAATTGGAGACTTGCAATGGCAGCAAAATGCTTCCACCCAAGTATGGGACCTGTCAATTCTTTTCACATTTCACTGGCTGAATGAATCATATGGTCATGTCTCACATCAAAAGGTGAGTAATGGCAATCTTTCCATATGCCCGAATTAAGAAGAACAAGGAATATTGGTGAGCAGTATAACGTCTATCATGTGGAGGGAGGCAAATAAGAAAAAAATATAAACACATTCAGGTATTTTTAGAAAGTGGTGAGCACTACTACTAAGACGGAATAACAGGGTGAAGGAATAACAATCTAACTGGGGGGACAAATTTAGACTTGGTGATCAGAACAGTCTCTCTGAAGAGGGTTGATTTGAGCTCAGACTCCAATGACAGCGGGAGCCAGTGAAATGGAGATCAGGGAAGAGCTATCCAGGCTTACACAGAACCAAGGCCAGGAAAAGCCCCCAGGCTAGATGGTTTGTTGGGTGGTAGAAACAGAGAAGGGACAGTGCTAGCAGATCAAGGCCTTTTTGGTTTCCAGGCGAGCAATGTAAATTTTACTTAGAGTGCATTGGGAAACGAATGAAGTGTTTAAACAGGGATCAACCTGATTTACATTTTAAAACGGTTCTGGGTGTGGTATTCAGAATGAATTGAAGGACACCAAGGTGAGATGTGGAATTGATCTGGGTGGTGGAGCCAGAGGCGGGGAGTGTGGGGTTTATAGGATGGACTAATGGAGCCAAGGAGAAGAGAAGTCCAGGAAGACGAGTCCTGAGCGGGAGTTCCTAGGTGGGTAGTGCTACTGTTTACTGAGGGGGACGAAAGGGAGGAAGGAGAGTTCTACATTGGTCTTGTTATATTTCACATGCTTATTAGGCATTCAGGCAGGCATTTAGGTATAGGAATCTGAAGATGAAATATAAATTGGGGGATTACATATATGTCTGCTTTATTCTGTTTTAAAATCTTCATAGCCTTATGCCTTATAGATGTGCCATCCGACATGTAATAAATAACTCCACTTACAGACTGAGTGGATCCCAGTTTAAAAAAATTACATGTATTACCAGCAACACACAGTTAAAATAGCTGTATAATGTCCTTGTTCCACTTGGGCATTGTAACTTCCCTTCTGAAAATGGAATTGCTAAGTCTAAGGATACTTTCACACTTTTTTTTAACTTTCATTTTATTTAAAGTGCATTGGGGAGACAATGAAGTGTTTAAACGGAGATCAGAGCTGATTTGCATCTTAAAAATATCATCCTTGGTGTGGTATCCAGAAAGCATTTTTTTTTTTTTTAGAAAAGGCCCATATCCTTAGAAATATTTGCTGCTATCTACACTTGCAGCAACACTGGTGCTTCCTCAGACTCTAGCTAACACTGGGTATTGTCACAGTTTTTAGTTTCTGCTAATCTAGTTTTGGAAAAAAGGGACCTCATTTATAATTTCAGTTTGTATTTTTTTACTTAGTGGGATTCTGAGCTTCATATTTGCCAGTGATTTGTCTCTTCTCTCGTGCTTTGACTGAAGCTGTGTATGCAGATTCCGTGTGTCCCCCGAGGTGGCGGACTCAGGAGTCCTAGCGCCGCTGGGTAAATGCGAGGTCTGCTGGCAGACACCCTGCCCTTTTCTTCCGGTGCCCTGAGCACCCACCCGGCCGCGTCCGGCAAGGAGGAGAAAGGTGGGTGTGGTGAGAAAACGTCTGCACTAATGAGGGCCAGTACAGGACGATCCCAAAGCCACCGAGCACAGGACAGACACAGCACACGGAGATCCCCAGTCCTTCTGGCCTCTCTCCAGTGTGGTGGCAAAAGTTGTGTTAACTACCGAGTGCTTCCGGGCGGCGCTGGCTGGCAGCAGCCGTCTCAGGTGGAGTTCCCATCGCGAGGCCCCCGGGCCACCGAACAGCGGGGTGGGGCAGAGGGGGCGCCCTTTCCCCGCACGGTCTCCAAGCGAGCGGGAACAACAACATCAACAACAACAACAACAAAAGACCGAAACCAAAAGCTTCCTTCCGGGCGCTGCCCGGGCCCTGCAGGCCGCCGAGGGCGCGTCTCTCCTCCACCATAGCAAGTTGCTTTCGCTTTGGACTTTGCAGGGGAGGGTCCTCCCGGCCCGGCGCCCCGTTCCCTAGAAGGACCGGGGACAGTGGGGGCGCGGGGCCGTGCGGCCGGGAGCAGACGGGCAGACCAGCCGGCGCAGCGCGCCCTGCGCCTGCCCCGCGCCCTGCACCGGCCCCGCGCCCTGCACCTGCCCCGCGCCCTGCCCGCGTGACAGGCCCTCGCGCGCCTGAAATGCACAGTACGTCATGTGAGGGGTGCGGCTCCGAAGGGATGGAGCGTCGAGGTAACCTCCGCACCCAGCGCCCCGTCGTCAGGGACACAGCTGTTGTGTCTGGGCATCGCTTCCAAGGCTGTGTTAGGGCTTAACTGTTGCCCACCCACGCCTTGGAGAACAAGGGCGGGGAGAATTACTCAGAAATGGAGACCACAGTTCGCTTTTGAAAAGGGGGCCAGCCAGAAGGATCGGAGCCAAGGGCGCCGCCTGATGTCTTGTCTGCATTACTGGGGATTCTCTCTTGGGGCCTTAGTCCTTTCTGCGGACACAAAGGGCTCTGTTTTCACCATCTGCGCTGGTTAGCAAGAACAGATAACGAATTCAAGGTTTAGCCTTGTGCGTTCTTGGCCATCAAGCGCTTGAAGGCAGTGGCAAGGCCTTTAATTCCTGGTCAGAAATGCTAAGCTCCCCGGTAATGACAAAGCAGTTGTGGGACAAAAGTGCGATTTGTTCAACGGGTGGACAGTTAAAGGCAACGTCAATGAAAGCCTGCAACTCCTTTGAAGAATTATAAACGAATGCAGTGAATGAATCTATTTCTCCCTTAGTGCCTTCCTTACAAACATAAGCTCGCAGTATTTATATCATTTTGCTTTCTGATGCAACGGTCAGAAGTCTCTTAAAATATATCAATGATAGAGGGAAAGTGCCATCACTTTAATAAGTGTGGCCAAAGAGCTGGATTTGTTTCAAAATCCTGTATTTCCTATATGGTAACTCTTCAAAGTCAGGCCATTTCCAAGCATTTCTTTTTCTCCTTAATCTTAGGTAGAAGAGATGAACTAACCATCAGGGAGAAGTTTCTTTGGTTTTAAAGATAAATGTAGACACTTGAATAGAGAAATATGGCATTAGTATTGATGAAGGCAGAAGTGGAATAATATTTTCTGAACTTAAATTTGGTGAAAGTGTTTCTTTGGTATTGCTGAGGAGCAAAAAGAAAGCTAATTCACCAGCCATCAGATTCGTGTGGACTGTTAGAGCCAGATGTTGTATAATAAATCAAGACAAATCGCCTGTGAAGTAAAATTCCCTGAAAAAATCTGAAAAAAAATCTCTTCTGTTATTTTTAACTCTGCTGGAGAGAACTATTTTGGGATAATTACATTGTATCACTTGGGGCAAGGATGGAGGAACACTTTTATGTAGTTTTACTGTTTTCTGTGCAATCTAGTTGTCTGAGTATTTTAAGAAACATTTTTCTTCCATTAAAAGTGTCTTCTCTAATAATTAGTCAGTAGATTATTATGAGTTTCATTTTCAAGAGACACCCTCTTTGTTTTATATGTCTCAACATGAACTGGTTTTGTCCCTTAGCCCTCTGTCCCTTTGCTTTTGTCATGAACACTTCTTTTGAGTTTTTAATTGAATTCAACAACAATTAAAATTTGGCCTTAGCTTTCAAAGCCTTTCTCTTATGAAGCTTCTCTTTGACTGCTTTAGCCAGAATTTATCTCACTTCCTAATCCTAGGTGTGATTGATTGTATATTTTAGCATTTTATTGTGAAAGGTCTTACAGTCTCACACATTGTTAAGTGTTGGTCTGTTTTTAATTTTAGAGAAATAGGTCTCCTTTTTTTTGTGCCTATCAAGCTCTGTTGAAATGATTTATTTATGTGTCTGCCTCCCTTTCATTCATAGAGGCCCTTTTATATATTGGTAATCCTGAAGCCTATTCAGGTGTCTCCCATGTAATAAATGCGCAGTAGATTTTTGTGGTGGAACTGAATTTCAGGAAAAGAGGTATGATTTATTTCTTTGTATGTGTCGTCTACGGTACCCAGGATACTTCCAGGCAAAGAACGTATGCTTAATTAGTACTGTTTTGTAATTGATCAACTAATTGACAAGGTACTATATGCTCTAAGAAATTTAGTTGTACACTGTGGGTTTAAAATTGCTATTTCATCAGATAGGTACATTTTTTCACCTTATTTTAATAGTTCCAGTTGAAATACCAGAGATGCCGAGAGTGCATATTCTGGGGGCAGTCATCATTGACTTTAGTAATTTTGTATTGAATTTCCACTGTGATAAATGAGAGCTCTCTGACTCCTCCCACTTTCCAAATTTGGAAGTTTTAGTATTATTTTAAATTCTCCTATGGGTTAGTTTTATAAGTTATGTAATACACTTAAAATTTTGGTAGTGTTACATGATTCTCTGTAATGTACAATTTTTCTTTTATCTCAACTTGGTAGTTCTGTCTTTATTCTTACATTGACAAGATTGAATGTTTCCATTTTATTCTGTAATCATACTTTCATCTTTAGTATTTTCAAGACTAAGCAGAATTAGCCTAAAATTAAAAAAACCAATGAGTGTTATATAGTAAATACTGCTTACAGTGTGCAAATAGTAAATACTGCTTACAGTGTGGTGTACTAGTGTGCTGTTGAAGCCGCGTTCTTGTTTGCAGAGCTGAAGAATGAACTTGGCAAACTCTCAAGGTAGGAGAGCCAGGGAGAGGTTTTTATTTAGAGATAAAGTGAGAGGATGAAGCTCCTGGCTTGACAAGAGAGCCCATAGCTGTGTATTGTCTGGGGGTTTTATAGGCAGTTGAGGATTTTTGGGAACGTGAAAAAAAGGCTTAGGGGTGTGAATTTGTTAAGTGGTCCCTGAATATTTAGAATTAACTTAACAGATGGAACTTCCTGCTTTGATTTCTTCCAGAGATACCAGCGTCTTGGTCTGGGAGCATATCAAACAAGGCCACCTGCCCAGCCCCCAACGTGGGCTGAGGTATAATTTGCTAAAGAGTAAGTTAAGAATCTTACTTCTTAACTTCTTGGGTATTACAATGCAATCTTATCTTTAAGGTGGAATCCTTCCTGTCTTTTACTATGTTGTTTATGGCTGGGTTTACTTGCCATTATTAACTGCCCAGATCGCAAATCATCTCTTCAGGTCTGAAGGAGGAAAGACAAGCACATAGGCCTGGGCCTTTTAGCATGCTAAAGTGAATCTCACACATGGTTACAAACGATTAGGATAATAAAAACATGTGCTACTCTTCTTTATGTGGGGAATATTAACTGATCTCACTGAAGAATGACTCTAGAGTTTAATGTTTAACACAGAGTGTTGGTAGGGGGTTTCCTTGCATGTAGTTACATTGCTCTGACTGCAAATATCCTGCCTTGCTTTTTCCAGAGGCCCTCACCCTACTCTGACTGCACCCACAGTCCCTGTCTCATTGTGATTACTTTTTCTCCTTTTGGCCCAAAGACACATATATTTTTCCTTTTTCTACTTACAGGTGAATATTCCTAGCAGCTGTGTCAAATGGATTCTTTTTTTTTCTTTTTTTTTTTTTCAATATTCCGTGGAGGACTACAGATCATGCTACACTTTAGGTTAGCTTTTGATCGTAGGCTGGAGCCTCTTCAGATGCCTAAAAGTTGAGGAGTGGGGGGCTTGCTCTGGGGTGCCAGCACCCATACTACTAGCAGGTCATATTCTCCCTAGAGTGTTCATTCAGTTTTTTTTTTTAAAGCAAAATTATCCTGGGTTTTCCCCCTAGGTTGTCTTCATTGTAGTGTGTATGCACTTGTTCATGTGGGTGTGTGTTCACACTGGGAGTAGGGAATGTGAAGAGACAGCTGGAGCAGTTGTTTTGCCATTAGGTTTTCAACTAATCTTTCGGTTTTAGGTCTCTTTTTCATTTCTGAGGTTCTGTCTTGGAAGGCTGTCACCTTTCTACTGCAGCACTTTCTTCCTGATTCTAGGTTAACTCCTTCACTCTGTCTTATCCTTCCATGTACTACTGATGATTTCAGTCTTCCAGAAATTTGTTGCAATTTCTCCAATGCTGATTGCTCCCTTTAACTGGGTTTATTCTCTTTTTAATTCCTTTACTTTCATTTTAAGGTATTGGATGGACAGGCCACTGTGTGTGTGCTTAGACTGTCTTTGTGACCTGGGAGGTCTGAAGTAGTTTGCCTATTGCCTATTGTACTCTGGGTACAGAGTTCTCCGAACCGAGATACCAAAACATCTTTGTGGTCGATTAACCATTACTCAGGCCAATGAAACATCTGTTACTCCCTGGGGGTAATTTAGGATAGATGGTATCTGAGCTCTCCTATAATTGGGCTAGACTATTTTGTATAAGCAATAAGGGAAGCATATAGGTCCACTTCCCTAAATGAGCTGGGGAGCAAATTAACACATTTAAATGGAAGCCCCTTAACTGGATAATGCCAAAAATTCAAAGAGAGTGAGTCCAAGTAAGGATCCCAGGGAAGGTCCACAATTTGATACTCTGTGCCTAGCATGCAGGGTTTGCAATAAGCATGTATTCTCCGAGGCTGAATTCCATCTTGGATATGTGCTGGAAAGCAAGATATACTTCACTGTAGCCCCAATGTTATTGCCTGGGTTTTTGTTTTTTTGGTGACTTTTTGCTGATTCTGACCAAAAAAGTAGTGGATTGTTTCTTACTGGCTTATATACTCTGGACTCTGCAATCAAGAAAACATGCAGCCATCTCCAAACTACCATATTTTGTGGTGGGCTTGACTTTTTAAATTTAAATTTTTAAGATTGTATCTCTTGATCTTTTCCTTTGTAATCTCCAGGATTTCAAGGCCTTTCTAAAATTAGACAATTATTAACCAATTCTTTGCATTTATTAAAAAAATAAAATTTTCACTTTTTTACATTTAACTCAAATTCATGCAGTGTTTATGTTGACATGGTGTGAGGGAAGGATCTATTCTTAATTTTCTCAAGTATCTAATCAATGACATTAATTTTATTTAATAAAATAGCCTCTCCCACTGGTGTGTAATATTGCCTGTATTAAGTAGAATCATACATTAAATAGCGTTCTGCTGTTTCTGTTACAGGCCTCAGGTTTGAATGACAAGAAATCCAAGGCCTATGAAACAATGGCTGTTGCTAGTCTGCCGGCTGGCCTTTGTGATGATCAGTTACTGATCTCAGTAGTGAAGCTTCACTACTAAGAAAGTAAGAATGAGGGTGGAGTTGTTGAAGATGTGCTATATCCAACAAGTACCGAGGCAGATGCATATGCAACATTCAGAGGAAAAAAAGGTGTTTCCAAATCAAATTTTTGTCATCTTAGAAATACTTCTGCAATGGAATTAACAGTTGAATTTTACTAAAAACAGCTTCATGGGATTGATAACGCTTAAAGAAGCTTTTTTAAAAGAAATTATTGTGTTCTGAGTATAAAAGTGGCACAATATTGCATTAGCAAAATACATGTGAAAATGGCTCATGATAAAGTTGCTTGTAGCTGACAAATTCTTGAAGACAAAAAATATTTTGAATTTCTATATCTAGGGATAAAAGTGATACATTTTATTGTAGAAAAGTTGTAAAATACAGAAACCTCCCCCACAATCCCCACCAAAACGACCTATACTCTCACCAACAAGATAACTACTTTGAGAATTTTGAGGTGGTTTCAGCAGTATAATTACACCATTTGCTTCTCTTTCTTCAAATTAACAAGTGGATTTTTTAAATATAGTATCTGCTTTATTACTGGTATAGTTGGATTGGAGAAATATGGTTTGAATTTGGGATCAGATTAAGCCATTTTCCCTTCATCCATTCCTGACATAGCTGAGAAAGCTGGGTCTGCAGAACATATTTACCCCTCTAGCCTCATGAAGGGGGTCAAGCCTTCCTTATACCTCAGTGGCTGGCAGAATAAATAGCCAGAGAAAAATTAGTCTCCCCACTAGCCTCTTGGAGGTAAAAGTATCATGTGAAGTAGGAGTAGAAGAGACTTTTCTCTGAGGGAAGACAGGATCTAGAGAGATCCAAGAGCCTATAGATTATGAGTACCTTTATCTGTCACCATTAATTAAGCCATTCTTAGTGGGGATGGTCAGAAAAAGCGATGGCAGAAAGGGCTCCTTTTTACTTCTCTAAGGGGATTGTGGCATTTTTGAAGTTAATAATGTATATGTTGAATTGGTAACTCAGAGAAAGAGAGAGCTCCCATGAAAGAGGACTCACATTCATTCATTTATTTACAAATATTATCAAGTGCCTATTATTTGTCAGGGATCATTTTAGGCCTTTAGAATCAAGCAATGAATGAAGTGGGCAAATTGTTTTCTTTCATGAAGCATACATCTGTGGGGGAGGAGAGATAATAAACAAGCAATAAATGAATATATGATATGTTGGGTGCTTTATTTGTATAGTTACACGTTATATATATGTACTTATGTTTATATATTCATTTATATCTATATATAATATGAGTGCTATGAAAAAATATAAAGAAGAATCAAAGGATAGAATGTGATGGAAGGTGCTTTAGATAGAATGGGCAGGGAAACACTCTTTGTTTAGGTGGTAGTTGACAGAGACCTGAATGAGGTAAAGACTCATGCAAATGACGAGGAAGAACACTCTGTGCTAAAGGAAGGATGGGGAAGAATCTCTGAGGGGTTATTATGTTGAGCTTTCTGAAGAATAGCAGAGGCCTGTGTGGCTGGAGTGGAATGAGCAAGGGGGAAAGCAATAGGAGACATGGTTCCATGGATAGCTGGGCCAGTTTATGTTAAGTAACTTACAGTTTGAGGCAAGATACCTGTATTTTATTCTGGGTGAGAAAGGAAGCCTTTAGAGAGTTTGCTCAGAGAACAACAAAATCTGGATGCCATTTCTTAGATGGCCAATCTGGTAGCGATACGTAGAATAGGAGCTACTAGTTTTATTGCTGTGTTGATGAGGGTGGTAAGACAACAGGTAATCGAGAACTGGTGGGTATTCAGGATGCATTGATGGATTAGGTATTGTTTCTGAGATGCTTTTGGAAGGGATATAGTTATGAAGAGTTGAAATTTGGTCATGGAGATACCTATCTGGAGAATGGAGTAGAGATTTCTACAGGCAGAAGGAAGAAAGGTCAAGGCTTAAGGTAGACTTTGGAAGTGATATATGCAGAGATAGTATCTAAAGCTGTGGAAACTGTTGAGATCATGGTGGCGCGGGGGGAGGTATGTTGGCAAAGACTTCTGAGGCCTGAGGCCTGGGCATGCCAACATCTAGAGAATGGGAAGAGGGGGAGAGTTAGTAAAGAAGACTGGGCAGGTCAGCCAGTGAATTAGAGGAGCACAGGACAGTGGGGTATTCAGGATTCAAGAAGGTGAAGTCTCCTCACGGCCATAATTGACAGAGTGGGGATTTACTTTTAGGTTTTTGCTGTATATATATGTGCGTATGTTTTTAAAAGTATGATTAGGATCATAGTTACACATAATATGAATTTTAAGATGTTAAAGTAGAAAGGAAAACTAGTTGAATCAATGTTAAATTTAAGAGAAAAATATAGAAAAAATCTTAGGCTTTCTAAATAATACACTTGAGCATTTCTATTATTATTAATTAGAATAATTACTAGTTGCATCATGCCACAAACACTTCTGATGGCGCTGTTTCCACCTGGTTGCCTAGAAGGTCATTGGAAAAAAGAAACACTGTCTAGGGGGAGATGTTTGGACTGATGTGTGGACCTGCGTAATGCAGTCTCTCATTTTAGTGAAAAGGTAAGTGGTGCCTCTGATGTTCCCAGATCCTGTTTCCTCTGCAAAGTGTTCCCTATGTAGGAGCACAGAGCACTCTCACCCTATTACTTCTAGCAAAGAAAATGCAAACTTGGTAACCTGAGTCAGAGTTAAGGGCCAAATCTGGGCCTTGAAATTGTCCAGTTATTGCCTGGACTGTTCTATGTTTCTATATGTCCCACTGATGCTTGAAAGCAGCAGTGAGTTTTTATGCTGTCATGGGTATGCCAGGTATTTACCTAAAGACTTATTTTGGGAGTGAAAAAACCCAATTAGGATAAACATTAAAAAAGCTTTGAAGAGGTGAAAAAAAAAAGCTTTGAAGAGGCCAGAAAAGTGGAAATATGAGGAACTAGTTTAAGTCAAAAGCATTGGTTTAAAACTATTCGGTAAGAAACCCAGGGTCCTATACAGCCATCTGATGAACGTCAAACTTGGAGGGTTCCCTAGAGAGGCCTCTACCCGCGGAGCAGAACCAGAACAGCGCATATCTATGGGCTTGGCTCAAGATGTTGTTTCAAAAAAACATTCTCCCTGTAAAAAATATTTGACCACCTCTGTTTTGGGGAAAGCGGTGAGAGTCTGTGCATCCCAAATTAGTAAGGCAAAAAGGTAGCTGGCCTTGATGGGTCTGTGGAATCCCTTTGGTGCGCTGCTAGGGCGCAAGAAGCCAGTCTGTGCTCGGCATCTGGAGCCCAGTTTAGGGTAACTGCTGCAGATGCAGGGACAGTGGCAGTAAAAGAAGGTGCTTATGTAGATGGCTGGACTAACAGTACTGTTGTCATTTTTCTACGTTTCATTTTAGGTCTTTAGCTCTGTAAGTGCTCTCCTTGATCTTTCTGTTTTTTTGGGTCAAGACACTCTAGAAAGTCTGGTATTGGAGCTAAAAAGGAAAATACCAACTTATGCTTCAGTCCTTGGGAATCCAATGAAAGAATCTCCGTTCAGGGATCATTCATGGCTCTCAAGAAGCTCAAAGAATCTGGTGTTACAAGCATGTTGTATTTTAGGAAAAAAACAAGAATTTTATCAGTGCAGGGAAAAAGTGGAATAAGCAGAGCCTCAGAGGGAGTACACAGAGAACTAGTAACTCTCTGACGTCACTTGGACCCTCAGTACCTGAGACTACTAGCAGAGGAGAAAGGCTTGTTCTTGACACAGGTGCTTCCCTTTACCTGAGGAAGAAAAGCAGCTTATATGAAAGCACACTGAAAAAATTTCACATTGTATGTCAGGTGAGAGTGGATGGTGAAACCACCACAGTTTGGATAAACAGTGCTCAAGATGGTTCTTAGCCAAACAATGATGCAAAAGGGTTCATTGAGAAATAGTCACATGCTTTTCATTTTGAACTTAAAAAGGAGACATTTATTTTGGAAGGAAGGGAAAGTAGAGATAAAAGGACTATTAAGTTGGCATGTGAACAACTAAGTTCAAGGTACCTTCAGTTCTGATTAATTTCTGTAGGATACACATTGACATTACAGGATCTCCTTCTGGCATGTACTTGTTTAAAAAGGAGGTCATGAAATTAGTAAGGCAAAAGGTAGGTGATAAAATCTCAGCAATAGTAAAGATAAAGGCTACTGCTTTCTCCTACAGAGTGGCGACAATGCCATTAGCTTTTCACATATTGTCTCGTTTAATCCTTGTGAGCATCCTTCACTGGAGGCATTGTTGTCCCCATGTTAAGAGGGGAAGTAATAGGATTTGGAGAGGTTACAACACTTGTCCAGAGTTGTCCAGCTGGCAAGGAATAGGGTGGAACTAAACCCAGTCATCTGGCTACAAAGACAATATAAAACTTTGAAAAAAATCTCACTGAACTTTGAAGAAATTTCACTTTCTCTGCAGCCCCAATTTTTAGAAAAAGAAGTAGCCTTAATTCTAACTATAAGAAATTTGGATGGTTATTAGTATGTCACTGCAACTCCTTATTTACAAAGTGTGCATTTACCCCAAATAGCATGCTCGTGAAACTCATTTTAGAAACTTCTTAGATGAAAAACATTTCTGATGCAGTTAAACTTTATCTTGTCTAAAGCTCATTGGTACAAAGTTACTGGACATAATGGGATTCAACTTAAGCATTTACATAAAATTTGGTTCTTTTGTTATAGTTAAGAACGATGAAGAAAGTATAGTGTCTTTTTCTTTACTCCCCCTTTATTTTATATGTGTATAATTGAAGTAACAGCATTTGAAGAAGGAGATCCTAGATGATCAGAATAAAAGTAAACAGTTATTTACCAGGCATCCATCCAACTGCTTTACGTATCTTTACCTATTCAGTCCTGACAGTAACCCTGTGAGGAGGTATTGTCTTTATCTCCCTTTGACAGATGAGGAAACTGAAGCAAAGAGATGTAATGGAACTTGCTATGCTTTTAATTACTGTATGTACTTCTCCTTTTTATAAAATGAGTCTCCCTCAATTCTCCTTAAACAATGGAGAAATCTTTCCTTAAAGGTGACAGAATGATCTGAATATTCTTTATTGAAGATGGGAAGCCAGAGCTTGTCAAGCATTTGGTTGTCTGTGACTTCCTGAGTTTAACTTTGGACTAAGCCAATTTTAAGCATCTAGGGCACTGCAGGGAACTCCTTAGGATAATAAAATATACACATCTTGCTCATGTGAGGGTTAAACAAATATGAATAGTGATGATTTGAACCATTTATGCTAGTAGAAAAGCATAAGTTATACTACATGCCTTCATTTTTCTTAGCCATTTAATTACCCAATAGGTAAACAATGTTTCCTTAAATACACTATTTTATTTCAGTTTGCATAAACTTTTTATCATAGGAAACTGCTATTTATATCAAGTGCCTGATAAGGTATCTTTAGGTTAAAAAGGTGCTTTGTTGTTATTTTGCTTGAAGGAATTTGTTTCAGTCCAGGTCCAATCAGGAGAGAGAAGGCACACAGAGAAAGTTTATTATAAAGGGTTCGTACCTTTAACGGGACTGGAATAGTGAAGGATTGGCTACTAAGAAATAAAGAGAACTCTTAAAATACACAGCGATACTAGATATAAGAAACAGTTTAGAAAGAGCACCCAAGGAAGACCCGCCCCCCAACATTCTGCCCCCCTCAAGCCCCCGAAGGACCGAGCTCCAGACCATGCTGGAGGGTTTGTGACAGGGGATCTTGCTGGAAATCCATTCTCTAGGGTCCTGGAGGAATCTGTTCACAGGCATCTCTCCGCGGCGCTCCTTTAAAAAGGCCGGAGGCAGGGCTGCTGCTGGTCACCGTGCACTTCAGGCCCTGAGCGCTGGGAGGCCTTGTGTGCCAGCGACACGGGAGCAGCTGCTCGCCTGCATGAGCCTCATGTTGAAGCAGCTGTCCGCGCGGCAGAAGCTGAGTACTAGGGGAAGCTTCCACTTCTGGGGAGCTGGATTCCGAGGAACCTGCCAGTTGAACCAAACGAAGCAGGAACAAGACTTTCCTCCCGCAGTGTCTCTCGGGCGCCCTCTACTGAGAAAGCTTAACATCTTGTCCGCAGCAAAGGAAAAATATTTGAGGGACCTGACCCATTTTTTAGAGTTGGCACATAGGATGAATTCAAAGCTGAGTCAATAAATTAAATACTGGCAGAGTTATATCTGATATCTGCAAGACTTTCATTATTACCACACATTAATTACCACCAGAAGCGTTTCAACAAAGAGCTGGATCTAAAGAGTGAGGCTCTTTCCATGATGTGAGAGGGAATAGTAATTGATTCACGGGTGTGGATAAAGCTGCTTCAGGTTGAGAAGATTAAATATTCCAGGTGTTTTTACGTATTGCTCTCCATTTTAGAGTTCTTTTTACAACATTGTCCTTATAGTATGCTAGTTATATAAGCAATTTCTGTCTTTAATAAAACTGACCTTTTTAAAAAAGCAGTGCTAGTGATTTTTATTAAAATTTATTTTTGAAGGTTACTGGCACCTAGGCAGATGACGTGAACTCCATCCTTGCTAAGCGTAAATCCTGTTATATGTCTGCCATTGGGCGAAAGACGTATCATTTACCTAGATAACTAAGTTGTTACTTTTCAAAAAGGCTGCACATAGTAAAAAGAGCTATTATTAAGATAAAAAAGATGTAGGGGGCTTTAGATAATGATAGAAGAAAGAGGAAGGTGAGAGAAAGGGCTCTGAGGCATTTGGGTGAGAAGCTCGGGCGTTTTTGTTGAGTTTTTCCGGGACAACCATTTTGCTGGGTTCTGGAGGTAACAGTGGGACACATGACAAATGATCACTGGCCCTTTAGTAGTCACTGCTTAATCTGGTAGAGAAGGCAGGCAAGCAAGACTTTACAGTCATAGTTGCTATAGAAGTACTTGAGGTGGGATGGAGGAGTCCATTCTTACCTCGGATATGTTACTCATTTCCCAAGTATTAGCATAAATCTCATAGAAAATGATGTGGGCATGGGTCAAAGTTTCATTTACCTTATGGAGGAATAAACCAGAAGACTGACAAAACTGATTCAGAAACATAAACAATTAAAAAGTCAGTAGAGAAAAGCATTTTAATAAAGATGCCAAACTAGAAACCAAACTAACTGATGTATAAAACTCACTTGGGGGGTTATTTGCTCTACTAGACAGAAAAGAAAATAATCAGACTCCAGTTTTTTTCTAGGAGTTAAATGTCTTACTTTATAGAGCTGTAAAATGTCACTGCCTTAAACAGTTGTGATATTAAGTGAAACGAAGTTACATTTCCCAAAAGAGATGACCTACAAGTGGGCTTAGTGGCTTGTGTCTAGGGTGACATTAAATGGTCACATAATTATTTTTTGCTTTATGTCTGTGTTTTGAGTAATTTTCTTTGACAAGAGCCAGGAGAAGCTTGCCAGAGGCGGAGACTGACAGATGGGTATTAACCCAATGAAGGGATGAGGAGAGATGGCAAGACAGCACAGGATTTGGTGGAATAGATGCCCCATCTCGGAGCTGGCACCGACATAGTAGTCAAGCTACAAAACAAGGAGTCATTCGACTGCTGCCTCTTCTCCCCATTTGTATGGCCACAACCTTAGATCAGGCCTATGCCATTACTTGCCTGGGTTAGTGGATTGAATAGCTTCCCCTCAAACATCACATCCACCTAGAACCTCAGAACGTGATCATATTTGGAAATAGGGTCTTTGCAGGTGCGATTAGTTAAGATTAGGTCAACTGGATTCAAGTGAGGCCTTCACCCAGTGGCTGGTGTCCTTAAAAGGAGAGGACACAGGGACTCAGAGGAGACAGGGAAAGAGGTCATGTGACAGTGGAGGCAGAAGGCAGAGATGCGGCTACAAAACAAGGAATGCCAAGGATGGCTGGGAAGCACCAGGGACCCACCAGGGACAGGAAGAGGGCAGGACAAATTCTTCCCGAGGGTCTTTAGGTGGAATATGATCCTGCCAAAACCTTGATTTTAAATTTCAGCCTGGGAGAGAATAAACTGTTGTTTCAAGCCACCAACTTTGTGGTGATTGGCTACGGCAGCTGTAGGAAACCAGTACACATGGCTTTAAAATAAAATTCCTGGGAGCCTCTGATCCTCACCCTTGATTTTGTGTCTGGGCCCCTGTTGTATACCGTACACACCCCTCTCTTTTGTGATGGCATTTCACAGTACATTTTGTTTGTTGGTTTCTTGTCTTCCACAATGTCTGCCATTGTCTCCTCGAGGGCATGAATTTTGTCTTCTACTTTCTTGCCTGTTGATAACAGGATGCCTGGCACACTGTAAGCATTCCACAAGTACCTGTGAACTACAGGAACAATTCTGTGCTCCCCATGGAATGTCATGCAAGTTTTTTCACTGAAATAAGCATCTTATAAATGTGTGTTCATTGGTCTAGGAATTTTCTTTTCAAACAGTTTTCCCAGTTGTCAAAGTCATAATACTAATACTAATCCTTTCCCTCTTATTTAAAATGTGTCCTCATTTCCTACTTTTTTATTTCTTCCAATGTAGGTGAGTCTGACAAGACACACTCAAGTAAAGACGTACCCATCCCTTTCATATTTCAAGCCAGGAATTGCTCCTGGTAGGGAATCAACCTGAAATGTTCCCTGAAAGTGCCTCAGTGGTTGGTCTTCATTTGCCCAGCTCCTGACTAAGTTTACCAGGGAGACAAAAAGTCTCTTGTGATTGAATTTGGTAGTTTGAAGATTTGCTGGGTCTTTTTACTTTTGTATCTGGTTATTGTCTGCTAGAGGAGGTCAATGAGAATTCTCAATGTCTATAAACAGCTTACCAATTAATGCCTGAAATATTAAAATATTTGATCTCTAGAAAATAATGTATAGCACGTGTGTGTTAAGACTCTCCTGTAGTGAGCGTATTTCTAGCAATGCTGAGACAAGCAATAGGAGTAGAATATGTCTCATTTTGATTTTCTACGCAATTTAATATTGGAAGAAATTAGTCTAACATTTTATTGATTCAGATGTTATAAGAATATTAAAAAGTAGGGACTTTGAGGGAGTGGGTGGGAAGAGGAACACAGAATATAAAAACTTTTGTTGTTGAAGTCTGTTTAAAATATATGATTTCATAAAGGGAACAAAAAGATAAAATGTAAAAAGGGTAGCGTGTTCAAGGGATGTGTGTGAATGTTGGAAGGAACAATTGCTCCTGAGGAAGATAGATGTTTTTGGGCTAGCTGTCTAAAGTTTGTCACAAATGGACAGCTTACCCCCTTTTTTCTTCCTGGCAAGGTGTCTCTGCCTGAAAACCCCACAATTTCTTTCCCTCATTCTATAAATCACTCTGCATTTTGGATTCTGTCTCTATTCCACCTCTTGTATTTGTTTCCGTGTTTCCATTCTCTATGCCACTACTGTAAGTCACTCATATCCAAGTTGTCACACTATTCTCCTTCCTGGCCTTCCTGACCCACCCCTACCCACACCCATGCCCTCAGCTCATCCTATATGCCACCAGATTGACGTGACTAATACTATTAGTGGTATTTGGGAGGCCAAACAGTCTGGCTGGTGTTAATTGTCCTACCCTGAAGTTTCATTGCAACACTTACTATTCTCCTGACCCATTTACAGCATGTCATGTGTTTTCTAATAGGTACAGCCTACTCATGCTTATAAAAGATTAGTATTTTATCATATATTAACTAATATTTTCTGGGGTT